AACTCACTTTCCCAGTCTGCCTTGCAGCTAGGAGTGGCCAGGTGACAGTCCTATCCAATGAGATGAAAGTGAAAGAAAGCCAGGGCATTTCTGGGAAATCTTTGATTAGAAAAGGGACAGGTGTCAGTCACCGGCAAAGTTCCTTTCTTCCCCTGCCTTAACATGGACATAACGGCTGGAGTGGCAGCCTTTCAAACACCATTAATGAAAGATAATCACAGCGATCCTGCTCCTAATATTATTTGAGCCAGCAAACCAATGCTAGCAACCACCTCCCTCCAGACTTTTATACTGAGCTCATTAAATATCTTTACTCTTAAACCGCTGTTTGTCAGTGTGTGTGTGTGTGTGTGTGTGTGCGTGTGTGTATGTGTGTGTGTGTTGGGGTGGGAGGGAGGGTTCTGTTACCTGCTGATAAAAACATGTCTAACTGATATACTGTGGCTTTCTCTTAGGAGCGAGAAAATGTCCCAGTCCGCACTGGACTTCTCAGGATATTTGTCAGACTGGGTCACATGCCTTTCCTGAACCAACTAAATAGAATTCCCCTTAGGCCAATGGGGTGACTCGAGGTATGGGGGTCAACTTTCCCTGAGACAAATGGATGCAAGAAAGAAAAAGTGGTCAGTGTGTGTGTGGGGGGGAATGTGGGACTTTTAGAAAGAAAGAGGTGAGGGGCACCTGATGGTTCAGTTGGTTGAGCATCTGACTCTTGAATTAGGCTCAGGTCATGATCCCAGGGATTAAGCCCCACATCGGGCTCCACACTGTGCATGAAACCTGCTTAAAGAGCCTCTCTCCCCTGCTCGCATTTTCTCTTTCTATATAAAATAAAATAATGGGAGTGTGTGTGCCTGGGTGACTTAGTCGGTTGAGCATCCAACTCTTGGTTTTGGCTCAGGTCATGGTCTCACAGCCTGTGAGTTCCAGCCCTGCGTCAGACTAACAGTGCAGATCCCGCTGGGATTCTCTGTCTCCCTCTGTCTCTTCCTCTCCCGGGCTTACACTCTCCCTATCTCGCTGTCTCAAAAGTAAATAAATAAACATTAAAAATAATGAAATAAAATAATAAGAAAAGAAAAGAAAGGAAAGGAAGAGGTGAGACATGGCTGCGGGGGAGACAGCCACCAGGGTGCCCGGCAGTGACCGCAGTGAGGGCCAGTAGCTCAGGCTTGAGCCTGGCTGAGTGATCTGTGCGTCGCCTGCGTGGACCGCCGGCCCGGTCACACCGCCCTGGCTCCGCGCTGGAGTCTACCTGCGTGCAGGGGTTACCGCGTACCCGCCCGTGGGGCAACAAGGTCATCAAAACCTCTAATGGATGGTTACAAGAGCTCCCCTCTCTCCATGAGGTCCAAGAACTAGGTTTTTTCCCTTGACGATAGAAATAAACCTGCTTTAATGAAGGACTAGATGACCCCAGTGTATCAACTCCATGAGGGCGGGCGTATATTTTTCTTGTTTTCCACGTCATCCCTAATCCCTAGGGATTGGTAAGGAACGCTGAACAGGACAGAACCTTCCACGGACACCCGCAGCCCTGTCTTCCCGTGATGCCGATCCAGTGGTTATGCCGTCGCAATAACTCAGTCTGCTACCATCCGACCGAGTTGTACTAACGGCTGCTCCGTCTGTCCCCATCTTGACTACAGGGTCACAAGCCGACTCTGATCTGGAGCTGGTGAACCCACTCTCGTTCCCGGGGGGGCATCACTTTCTTTCCAGGACCTCCCCACTCCCTCGCTTTATCGTTGTTCACCCTCTGGCCCAATGTCTGAAGTCTCCTCTTCCTTCCCTTTCAGAAAGACAGAGAATGGCTATTTGGGCTCCCCGTCAACCTTTTAACTTGTTTCCCCCGCAAGTTTCCGAAGGCCACGGGCAGTGACTCAGCATCTGTTTTGCAGCAGCTGGAATCTAATTAGTCCAGACCCAAGGACCTTATTTCAAGCAGCCAGGAGCTCATCTGCACACTCGTCAGGCCACCGGCTCCCCCCTGGCACCCGCCACTCACCTGCGCACTCCGCTCGCCACGGCTGAGGCTGAGAGGTGTGGGGCCAGCCACCTTCCTGGTCCCCTGCGGCCGGGGCAGGTGGCTCCACGCTTTCAATCTCCTGTTCTAGAAGGAGCTCAGGGCTCCTGTTAATTGCCCCCGTTGGCAGTTTCCTATTCCAGTTCTTCATCCCCTCCCCCCCCCCGCCCCCATGATACAGAGGAACACAAGCTCATTAGACAAAATGTAGAAAATCCAACTAAGGACGTCGACGAAGTGAGAAAAATAACTTCCTGCCCCACTGCCTCTGCTCAAGCCCGGTTAACGAGTCGGAAGCCACTCTGAGGGGTGTTCTTTACTTAAAAGTGTCTCCTTTTAGAACTTCCTGGCGCGTCTGGGTGGCTCCGTTAAGCGTTTGACTTTGGCTCAGGTCATGATCTCATGGTCCGTGGGTTTAGGCCCCCCGTCGGGCTCTGTGCTGACAGCTCAGAGCCTGGAGCCTGTTTCAGATTCTGTATCTCCCTCTCTCTCTGACCCTGCCCTGCTCACGCTGCCTCTCTCTCTCTCTCTCAGAAATAAATAAAATATTTAAAAAAATTTTTTCCTAACACCACTAAGGGTGAGAGAAGAGAGCAAGAGAAGAAAGGAAGGGAGAACTACAAAAACAACCATAAAACAAGTAACAAAATGGCAATAAATACATCACTGTAGAATTTCCTCTTATTTAAAAAAAATTTTTTTAATGTTTATTTCTTTTGAGAAAGAAACAGAGTGCGAGCAGGGGAGGGTCAGAGAGAGGGGGAGACACAGAATCCGAAACAGGTTCCAGGCTCCGAGCTGTCAGCACAGAGCCCGACGCGGGACTCGAACTCACGAGCTGTGATATCGTGACCTGAGCCAAAGTGGGACACTTAACCAACTAACCCCCCTAGGCGCCCCTAGAATATCCTCTTAAATCTGAGCTTTAATTGTTCACGCTTCGTGGAGCCTTCAACAAACCAATTCTTGAGTCATCGCGAAGGTGTACAAAGACTTAATTCACAGCACAAGGGTTGTGTTCCCTAGGACACCATCAGGAACAGGTAGAGGGATGTGGGGACAAGAACATTCCTAGAAGCAGCCTGTGCAAGCACAGAAAAGGTCTGAATGGACACGACCCTATTCTTTTTTTTTTTCTTTTTAAAATTTTTTTTTTTTAATTTATTTCTAGGAGAGAGAGAGAGACAGCGTGAACAGGGGAGGGTCAGAGAGAGAGGGAGTCACAGACTGAAACAGGCTCCAGGCTCTGAGCTGGCAGTCAGCACAGAGCCCAACGCGGGGCTCGAACCCATGAACCGCGAGATCATGACCTAAGAGAAAGTCGGAGGCTTAACCAACTAAGCCACCCAGGTGCCCCGACACAACCCTATTCTTACGAAACATCATTACAGGAGTTCTTTGGGGAGGAGGTGATGGGAGTCGAGAAAGAGAGGAAAGCTTTCACTTTTACTGTATGCATGTAGAGAAGGAGAATGATTTGTGCAGAAATTATTTCATTAATTTCTCCATTTCTGAAGTTTCTAAATTTTCTACGGGGAACCTGTGTTATTAAAAAAATGTTTATGTTTATTTATTTAAAAAATTTTTAATGTTTTATTTTTTATTTTTGAGAGAGAGAAACAGAGTGAGCAGGGGAGGGTCAGAGAGAGAGGGAGACACAGAATCCAAAGACAGGCTCCAGGCTCTGAGCTGTCAGCACAGAGCCCGACGCAGGGCTTGAACCCATGAACCGTGAGATCATGACCTGAGCTGAAGTCGGTCACTCTCTCGACTGAGCCACTTAGGTGTCCCCCCTGTATTATTTTTATAATCGCCAAAATGTTAACATACATGTTATGGGCTGAACTGTGTGCCCCCCAGATTCATATGTTGAAGTTCTAACCCCCAATACCTCCATGTGACTGTATTTGGACGTAGGGTTTTTAAAGAGGTAATTCAATTAACATGAGGACATAAGGGTCTGTACTAATCCAAGATGTCTAATGTCCTTATAAGAGGAGATTGGGACACAGACACACAGACGGAAGACCACGTGGAGACAACCACCTGCAAGCTAACTAAGAAGGACCCTGGGGACACCTTGATCTTGGACTTCCAGAGTCCAGAAAGGTAAGAAAATAAATGTCTGCTGTTCGAACCCCCCAGTCTATGGTCCTGTGTTGCAGCAGCCCGGCAAACTAAAACACCGTGTAATTAAACAGACACAAGGCAAGCAGATACAAGCTCTTGGTATTTCAAGTTTTCACACTGAAACTTTTTGCTGGTCACGGGAAACCCAGGGATTCAGGAAGTAATTTGTGCCCCCCCCCCCCCCCGCCGGTTTTTGCAACTAGAATTTGAGTGCCAGCCTGCAGGGCCAGGGACAAACAAACGATCCAACAGGGCAAAGGTCAGGCCTCTGTGTTATAAGCCACCTCCCGCCACCGCTTACACACAGGGGAAGGAGGAAGGGGGGAGTCAGAAGTGGTGGGTTGTGGCCAGAAACGTCTGCAAAGGAGCAGACAGCGCAGTTTCCGATCGGGTGGCCACGCGGGCTGTGGGTGGGTCCCAGGCCCCTCTGCAAATGGAATGAAAATAAGCAACCTCCCCTACGAAGATGCGCACGCAGAGATTTCGCACACTCATTCAGGGCTTTGTGTCCTCCCCACTCCCAATATTTGTGGACCCGAACTTAACAACCTCAGCTCTAGTTGGAAACATAAAGAATTAATTTACGGGACAGCTTTGGCCGGATTCTTACTGTGCCCCCAGTAAGAGCGAAGACGGGATGAAAGGTAAAAGGGGAGTCAGGTCTTACCTGGGAGAAGCCAGGAACCTGCACAAACATGTCCACGGAGCAGAAGGGTGAAGGCCCCGCGTGGCTCTAAATGGGACTTTGCTGAGAGCAGAGGCCAGATGGAGGAGCTGAGAAAGCATCTTGTTGGGGCGCCTGGCTGGCTCAGTCGGTAGAGCATGCAACTCTTAATTTGGGGGTTGTGAGTTCAAGCCCCACGTTGGGCATGGAGTCTACTTAAAAAAAGAAAATAAAAGGGGGCGCCTGGGTGGCTTAGTCGGTTAAGCTTCCGACTTTCGCTTAGGTCATGATCTCATGGTTCGTGGGTTCGAGCCCTGCGTCGGGCTCTGTGCTGACTGCCAGCTCAGAGCCTGGAGCCTGTTTCAGTCTGACTCCCTCTCTCTCTGACTCTCCCCTGCTTACGCTGTCTCTCTCTTTCTCCCTCTCCTAGGAAAAAAAAAAAAAAACATTTGAAAAAAAAATTAAAAACGAAATAAAAAATAAACTACTTTGTCTAATAGAACTGCCATCAGCCTCATGACCCTGTGTGGCTCGTCCAAACTGAAATGTGCATTAAGTGTGAATTCTCAGCAGATTGTGAAGTCTTAATATGGAAGAGAATGTAAAATATCTCACTAATAATTATACTGGTGAAATAAAATTTGGTGTCTATTGGATTAAATAGAATATATTTTCTAGTTAACTTCACTATATATATATTTACTTTATATTAATACTTTTTTGAATTTAAGCTTATTTATTTATTTTAAGAAAGAAAGGAGAGAGAGAATCCCAAGCAGGCTCTGTAGTGTCAGCACAGAGCCCGACATGGGGCTCGAACTCACGAGCCTTGAGATCATGACCTGAGCTGAAGTCAAGAGTCAGATGCTCAACCCACTGAGCCACCCAGGTACCCTTATTTTTTTACTTTTTAAAATGCAGAGGAGTTACTCATTTCTCCCTGGACTACCTCCCATGTTACATTAGGTATACATGTAGCCTACTTCTGCTTCTTTGTATCTTATTTCCTTCTCCTCCTCCTCCTTCTTTAATCTGAGAGAGCGGCGCCTGGGTGGCTCAGTTGGTTAAGCGTCCAACTTCAGCTCAGGTCATGATCTCACAGTTTGCGAGTTTGAGCCCTGCATTGGGCTCTATGCTGACAGGTCAAAGCCTGGAGCCTGCTTCAGATTCTGGATCTCCCTCTCTGCCCCTCACTCCACTAACACTCTGTCTCTCTCAGAAATAAACAAAACATTAAAAAAATCCCATTAAGGGGCGCCTGGGTGGCTTAGTCGGTTAAGCGTCCGACTTTCGCTTAGGTCATGATCTCACGTTCGTGTGTTCGAGCCCCGCATCGGGCTCTGTGCTGACTGCCAGCTCGGAGCCTGGAGCCTGTTTCAGTCTGTGACTCCCTCTCTCTCTGACCCTCCCCTGCTCACGCTGTCTCTCTCTCTCTCTCCTAGAAATAATAAATTAAAAAAAAAAATCCCATTAATTTGGGAGAGAGCATGCATGAGCGTGGGGGGTGGGAGGGAGCAGAGAGAGAGGGAGAGAGAAAGAGATAGAAGCTCAAGCTGGCTCCAGGCTCAGTTTGGCCTGGAGCCTGAGGTGGGGCTGGATCCCACCACCCTGGGACCATGACCTGACTCGAAATCAAGAGTTGGACACTCAACCAACTGAGGCTCCCAGACATCGTTCTGTTTGTTAATATTCTGTATTTTAATAAATATTCTGTATTTCAATAAGCAAATAAAGCACAGCTCCTAGAATATCCATGATTATATATGTGGATTACATTGTGTGTTTACTGGAGAGGCTGGTGTACGGGAAGAGCAATCGCAGCCACTGTCAGTGCTGAGCGCCTGGCACATGCTAAGTGTTCATCTAACGGCAGCTTTTGTCCCGAAGGCCTGTGGCTGCGCCCTCTCTGGCTCTGCGTGCAGATCTATGTCTAGAAATCAGGGTCTGTTTCCCCGCCTGCCTTGTCATATTTATTCACCCACAGGAAGAGCTCCTGGCCTTGCCTTTCATCTTCCCCAGCTCTGAGACCTCTCCAGGGGCATCACACACACACACACACACACACACACACACACACACAGCCCGCTCAGGGATCTGTGCAGGGACAAGCTTTCTCAACATCCAGTCCTCCATCACCTCCCGTCTCCTGGTGGCTCTGGCCTGGAGCACCTCTGATCCACTGAGGTCCCCGTACCTCGGCTTGGTGATGGCTCCTTGCTGTCACCCTTCTTCGCTTTCTCCTCGGGCCGCACATCTTGCTCTATGTGGCGCTCACACAGATGGAGCGTCGCCAGAAGGAGACTGTTGGCAGGCTGCCAAGAGGCTGCCCAAAGCGGCCTTTACTCTGACAAATTCACTCCTGGGACCCCGGGGTCGAGCCACAGCCTGGCAGCTGGTGGAGAGGAGCTCTGAGGCTCAGCTGCGGGCTTGGACTCCTCGACTTCTCAGGAGACCTGTGTACACACCAGATGGCACGTTTTCAGTGCGTTTAGCAGGCTGAGAACAGTTTTGTTTCAGAAAACATCTCCATGAGCCAGTTTGGTTGAGGAAGGGGAGGGCGGCGCCGGGAACACGGTGGAATGTTCGTGGTTAATCACACAAGGGACTAAATGGCTTTACTGGTGTCGTAATGGGAGCTCAGGGAAAAGAGACCCCCAAGAAGAGGGAAGACAGGGAAGGTCAGAGAAATGAAATGGAGGGGGTGGGGGCACAGAACAAGATGGCATGAGCCACTGCCTGGGATGGATTCCAGGGAGAAATCTCCAGAGGCAGGGACACCAAAGGACAGACGGACTAATTTATTTGTTTGTTTTCAGTAGGCTCCACACCCAGTATGGAGATTGAGCTCAGGACACTGAGCTCAAAAGTCGCATGCTCTACCGACTGAGCCAGCCGGAAGCCCCCAAAGGACTTTTTAAAAACAACTGTGGTAAGGGCACCTGGGTGGTTCCGTTGGTTAAGCATCCAACTCTTAGTTTCCGCTCAGGTCATGATCTTATGGTTGGTGGATTCGAGTCCCAAGTCGGGCTCTGTGCTTGACAGCACGGAGCCTGTTTGGGATTCTCTCTCTCTCTCTCCCCCTCCCCTGCTCATGCTCTCTCTCTCTGTCTCAAAATAAATACACTTAAAAAATTGTGGTAAAACACACATAACAAAATTTACCATCTTAATCATTTCTAGGTGTGCACTTCAGAGACATTAGGTACACTCTCCTTGTTGTGCAACTATTACCACCATCCTTCTCTAGAACTTTCTTCATCTCCCCAAACTGTATTCATTAAACACTAAAGCCCCATTCTCTCCCCCCAGTCCTCCCCACCCCCCGGCTGCTGGCAACCACCATTCTTTCTGTCGCTATGAATTCGACAACTCTGGGCACGTCTTGTAAGTGGAATCATATGGTGTTTGTCCCTGGGGATCTGGTTCATTTCACTTAGCGGACTGTCCTGAAGGTTCATCTATGTTGGAGCAGGTGGCCGCATTTCCTTCCTCTTTAAGGCTGAACACTGTTCCACTGTGTGCTGATACCACCTTCTGTCCCCCACTCATCCGTTCGTAGACACTCTGATGCTTCCATCTTTTGGCCAGTGCGAATAACGCTGCTGCGAACATGGGGTCCAAACATCTCTTGGAAACTCTACTTCGGCTCTTTCAGGTGTTCAACCAGAAGTGGAATTGCCGGGTCATAGATAATTCTACTATTTTAATTTTTGAGGAACCACCATACTGTGTCCCACACTGGCTGCACCATTTTACGTTCCCGCCAACAGGACACAAAGACTCCAGTTTCTCCACATCCTTGCCAACATTTGTTATTTTCTGGGGTTTTTTTTTTTTCGTCTTTTTTGTTTTTTAGTAATTTTCCTTTTTTTATAAGTTTATTTATTTTGAGAGATAGAGAGGGAGAAAATGTGAGTTAGGGGGAGGGGCAGAGAGAGGGAGAGAGAGAGAGAATCCCAAGCAGGTTCCAAGCTGTCCGCACAGAGCCCAATGTGGGGCTCAAGTTCATGAACTGTGAGATCACGATGTGAGCCAAAATCAACAAAGAGTTGGATGCTTAACCGACTGAGCCGCCCAGGTGCCCAGCACTAGAGGACTTTGAGGTCAGGGTCTGTGGTGTTCCATTTTGAACAGGTTGTGTACCCACTAGGTGTGCTCCTTTATTGCCCCAAGCTGTATCTTGCGTGAGGAGGGGTCTCCAATGCGAGACTCACGCTGAGTCGACGATGGCGCCCAGGGGAGCAAGGAGAAGGGACTGGGACGTGAGAGGCAGGGGTGAGGAGGTGAGCAGCACAAGGCTCTGGCCAGATGTACTGGAAAACAGGACTCCTGAACCCTGGGAACAGCAAAGAAGACCTGGGGGTCCCACTGCTTGTGGGTCAGGAGTGGGAGGAGATTCTATTAGATCTCAAAGGCCAGGGCCACCACCCCCGCTGGCCTAACCGCATGGGCCCAGGCCCAGGGAGGAAGGCCGGGTGGTTTGGATCATGGCAAGGGGCCGCATGAGGCTGCATACCCGGTGACTCTGGCTGCCGATGGGTGAGGGACACCGGCCCCTAGGCTCCTCCTTGAGTAGATACTGCCACCTTCTGGCTCTTTGTTGACCGACTGCCCCACCCCACGCCAAGAAGAGCTTTCTCCAGAACAAGAAACAAAGAGATGGAAGGAGGTTTCCTTCACCTGCTAACAATCCTATTTCCCTGGGGCTGCACCCAGGTCACCTGCGTTTTGAGTCCGGCTGGTCCCAACCTTTCATCTCCTGGTCTCCTCCCCTCGATGGCTCAACACAGCCCTCACCATCTCTCGACAGACAGCTTTATTGACCTTAATTTTCCGTTGATTCGGGGCAGGGCCTCACTGGGGGGGGGGGGGGGGGGGGGGGGGGGGGCTGGGACCTTGTCCATTGTTTCTCTGTTGAATGGTTGGCTGTTTTTGCTGGAAATTCCCCAGCACCTACCAGCTATTGTTCCCTCTGAGGCAGGCCTGCTGGAGTCCCTTAACCAGTTAACCAGGTTCAGGGTTTGTTGAGGTGCTTTTCTCCCTCCCCTTCTGCAATTTGCTCCCTCTTTCTCTCTTGCCTGAACTGCGGGCTCCTTCCTGCTGCCCCTCCCCCTCCCTGAGAATTTCTGTGACTTGGCTCAGAGCCCTTTGTTTTGATGTCTCAAACTCAGTGCTAAGCTCAAACTCTCTACCAGTAGGCACTGGGGGGGGAGGGGGGGGAAGTCCAGCTCTGGACCTTCCAGCTTCCCCTTCCCTGGTCCCGGGGAAGCCAACGTGGGTCACCATGTTGACTGGTGTCTTGCCTTAGACAGGACCCCAGGGGGCTGCACACTTGTCCTGGGAACGCCCTTAATTCCCTCAGAGTCAGCAGGAGATGGGGGGATAGGGAGCGAGGAGCTGGTGGAGGGGCTCACCCCCCACAGGCCCCCACCTGCTCCCCTTTCCCTGGGCTTGAAGACGCTCCTAACCATTCCACGTCCCCTCCCCCTTGCCCCCTTCCTCACAGGCCAGACCTAGTCATTGGGCATCTCCAAGGTTCTCATAGAGATCAGCCTCCTGGACACCCAGCACTTACCTGCCTGAGGAGGAAGGACACCACAGAAAAGTGCAGAGAGAACCCACCTTTCTTTCTACCCCAGGTGTGGCTGTCAGATATTCTGGAAACAAGAGAGCTCATTCCTGAGGTCCCTATGGGTTGCGAAGGGCGTCTTCAAGCCCATGGGTTTTGATTTAGTTTGAAGCATTGGGGTTCGGAGCCAACGGCCAAGAGGGAATTCTTGAGGGGTCCCTGGGTGGCTCAGTAGGTTTGGAGTTTTGGGGTGACAGTGGGGTTCAAAGCTGCACCGTGCCATTGGCGGCCGTGCCATGCCACACTGTGGCTTGCCTTGCAGAGAAGGCCACGAGAAACCAGTCGTCTTTAACTCATGAAAACACTGGAGACGTTTTACAAAATTACCCAATTCTGTAGTTGAGGACAAGGATGGAAAACAGTAAAGCCAGGAATCCATCATGATCTAAGCGACATTCCTACGCATGTAGTCCTTACAGCCGACTTCCTAGGAAACGGTCCCCAGTTGGGTTTTAATTCAACCTGGTACTGGTTCTGGCCAGCTCCACGCAGCCAGAAGGGCTAGACCAGAGATGTGCAGGGGACCACGTTAGACCAATCAGGAGGAGACCTCCAAAAGGAGTCATTTTTACTTATTTAATTATTTTTTGAATGTTCATTTATTTTTGATAGAGAGAGCTCGAGCAGGGGAGGGACAGAGAGAGAGGGAGACACAGAATCCCAAGCAGGCTCCAGGCTCCGAGCCGTCAGCACGGAGCCCGACGAAGGGCCAGAACCCATGAACTGCGAGATCTTGACCTGAGCCGAAGTCTGACACTTAACGGATTGAGCCCCTAGGCGGCCCTCACACGGAAGTCAATGTTTGCAGCGGTGATGGTGCCTTGCCCAGGACAGACAATCTCATATAAAGACAGAACAAAGAGAGGGTATCACGTTTCTGGGTCTTATTACCGATCCAACCAGGGTACTAAGTTCCAGCCAAAAGGCACGCTTTCTCCTCCCCAGAAGAGTAGCCACGGGCGAGAGGAGGGCAGCCTGAGCGACCGACACGAAAGTGTTCCATTAAGACTGTACTTCTCGAAAGGCCCCTGAAGTGAGAGTTAAGGAAGAGAAAGTACTCACCAAGTTTGCACAGAAGCTCCGCGTCCAGATGAAAGGACTCATCGCCCCACAGTGGGGTCCCAAAAAGGATGAGTTTTTTGGGGGGTGAGGGGGGGTTCAGAGCTGACATCCAAGAAAGAATTCTTGAAGACATCTTTGGTGCAAAAAAGCAATTTTCCTAAAGCACGGGGACAGGACCCATGGATGGAAAGAGCTGCACTGGGGTCACGAGGAGTGATTGGTTATGTATTTGGGATACCAGGGGAGGTGAAGTCAAGAGGAAGCTTCCAGAGATCTTCATATGCTAAAGAAGACTTACAGGGTCCTGGAGGCCTAGCTATTGTCAAGCTCAGGTTGTTTTTTTCTCCTGTAAAGTATTAACATGAAGAAGGGAGGGAGGTTTTACTCTGCCCGCCTCAAGTAGTTGTCAATGGGCTGCAGGTTATAAGGAAATTTAATTTTATCTCCAGGTTTGAGCTGGGATTTCTTCTTCTTCTTTTTTTAATGTTTATTTATTTTTTTGAGAAGGAGAGAGAGAGAGCATGCATGTGCAAGGGTGGGGGAAGAGCAGAGAGAGGGGGGACAGAGGATCCGAAGTGGGCTCCGCGCTGACAGCAGAGCGCCTGACGCGGGGTTTGAACCCATGAACCGCAAGATCATGACCTGAGCCAAAGTCGGACACTCAACCAACTGAGCCACCCAGGCACCCCCTCCTCCCGCCATGTCTTATTTTATTTTCTTCTCCACACATATCCCTATCTGAAGCGTAAGCTTCAGGGGCCCCTCCAATGGTCAGGGCCTAATTTTGTATAAATGGAGGCCTCTGCCTGGCTGACCCAACGCTGCAAGCTTCAGTCTCACAGAATCTCAATCTGTTTTGTAGCCGGAGTGAAGGACCGGCTGCCCTGAGGATGCCTTGTGCCTGCCTCTGGCTGGAAGACAAACTCAGCATTCCTCCTGCCAAGCTATTCTGACAGGCCCTTGGCCTCCCCGTCTCCTCGGGCCTGGGTGCCAAGAGTAAGCCTTGCCCAGAAATCTTGGTAACTGCCCTGCTCACTGTGCCCTGGACTCAACGGGGGCGGGGGGGGGGGGAGCAGGGGGAACATAAAACCCCAGAAGCTGCTGCTGAATGTGCTTCTCCCTCGTGGATCCCCCCCTGCCTTGACCCCCCAAATAGGCAGGAGTCTTCTCAATCAGCAGCCATATAGCTCCAGATTGCTCAGCTGGAGATAGAAACCAGACTTCTCTGGAATCTCTTCTGGAATCTCTTCCCTTCCCCAGCTTTTCTGCAAAGCTAATCCTTACAGTTTGTCCCCCACCGTACCTCTTTACTCATTTGGGCAAATATTTAGCAAACAGGATTAACTCTCCCTATGCCTTGGCCCTGGCAGACCTGGCTAATCGATCACAGAACTCTTTTCAGATGGGCTCCTGGGCTGCCACTACCCCTAGATCAGGGAGGAAACCTATTTGCCTCTTCACGTGAGTCAGGTCTAAATCATCGAAGGGGTAAATCTGTTTCAGAGGAAAAGGGCCAGTGCTTGCAATGAAGTCCTGTATCTAGGTTGAGACCAGGGAGGTCAATTCCAAGGACGTATTTTCTGTTTGACCAAGTAAGTGGAGACTTCAGGCACCTGTGGTTACATCCCGTGACACAGTGGAAAAACCACTGACCCCGAGCTGGAAAGTCCTGCCCTGTTCTGGGCAAAACGACTCACTTCCTCATTCTGCACACGGGGCTACAGGTCAGGCTGCTTGTAGCGAATTACCTTAGACGGGGCGACGGAAATAACTAACATTGATTTCTCTCTGTTCTGCAGGCTGGGAGGTCCCAGATCGAGGCGCTGGCTGATTCCGTGTCTGGTGAGGGCCCTTTTCCAGGCTGCAGACCGTCAGCTTCCACCAACTTCTTGCGACCTCACGTGGTGGAAAGAAATCCTCACTTCTTTTCAAAAATGTTTTAATGTTTATTTATTTTTGAGAGAGAGTGCGTGAGTGGCGAGAAGCAGAGAGAGGGAGACAGAGGATCCGAAGCAGGCTCTGCGCTGACAGCACAGAGCCCCACACAGGGCCCAAACTCACAAACCGCGAGATCGTGACATGAGCAGAAGTCGGAAGTCGGACAGTCAACAGACTGAGCCACTGGGCGCCCCAAGAAATCCTCACTTCTTACGGGTTGGGGGACTGTGGTGAGCTGTCCTTAGAGCCTGGAGGAAATGTCACCTCCTGGGGGGGAAGCAGTCAGAAAGGAGGTGAAGAATGAGCTTGGTGAGTTTACTGACCACAGATACCCCCAGCGTCCAGAAGGAAGTCCAGGTATAGGGCTGCTGGGCAACGACACTTACGGGGACTGTCCTGCTGCATGTGTGTTACTTCCTACTTCAGCTGCCTCTCCCGGCAGCCTCCCCGCGCTGTGCTCCCCAGCACTACCCTCGAAGCCCCCAACTATTCATCTCCCTCACTTATCTGTCGGGAATATTAGGGGCCTCCAGGCAGCGCCCACTGCAGCTCGCTCCTCCCCAGGAGATGAGGTGGGTGCTCCCCCCTCTGCAGCTTGGACCCCTCAGCTACCTCCCCCCGTCACCCTCCTCTCTCCCTGGCACCTTCAGCCTCACCTCTGCTGGCTCCTTTCCTTCAGCATATACATTTGCTAAGAATAGTCCCAGTTTAAAATAACAACAACATGGGTGCCTGGGTGGCTGAAGCGTCCGACTTGGGCTCAGGTCATGATCTCGCGGTTCGTGGGCTTGAGCCCCGCGTCGGGTTCTGCGCGGACACTGCAGAAGCTACTTGGGATTCTCTGCCCCTCCCCCGCACTCTCTCGCTCTCAAAAATAAATAAACATTTCAGCACAACGAACTAAGAGCTACACCCCCAAAACCCTCCTTCCATCTAGCATCTCCCTCCCGCGTTCTTGCTGGAAGAGAGGTTTACACTGGCTGACCTCACTGCTACCTCCCAGCCTCTCTTCAACCCACTGTGATTGGGTCTCGCTTGTCTTGGTCCAGCCTCCTCACCATCTGGTAAGGAAATAAAGAAAAGGCCCCTGCCAAGATCAGCGATGGCTTCTGGATTGCTAAATTCAGAATTTTGGATTTTGGCGCCTATTTACTCCTCCACTTTGTAGCTTCCCCGCCACGGACCATCGCATGGACATCTGTGACAGCCCTTCCCGGTCCTCTCTTCCTCAGGGACCCTTAAACGTTGGTGACCCCCAGGGTCCCATCAATGGTCCCTCCCCCAGCGCTCCCCACAGCACACCCTCTCCTGAGCCATCTTTTCAGACCCATGGCTTCTACTACTGTCTTTCCGCCTGAGAATGCTTAGTAGTAAGCAATATGTTAAAGAATGTAAAATAATCGTGCACGAACTGAGAAAGGAAGACATTTGAGGGAGAAAGCAAAAATACTGGGTCCTTTCTACACTTCTGTGGGCAAGTCAGCACACCACCCAAGCTCTGATTTCTCATCCACAGGATTTGGGACAAGAATAGTACCTACTTCACGGGGTTGCTATGAGGCTTATGTGGGATAATTCTAGAGCACGCTCCCAGAGCATGTAGTTGTCAACATGGCGACGGTCTCTGTGACTTGTGGGGGCAGAGACGTGATGGAGAGAAGACAAGTCAAGTGGGAAATGGTAGTCTGGATCCAGGTTTTGAAACATGCAAGGGCAGTGGACTGGTGAGATCTTTGTCAAGGGCATTCCTAACCCGTGTCATGGGGCTGAGAGCGGAAGAGCAGGTTGCCGGTCTCCTTCGGGCCATCTGGATGACCTTGTGAGCACCTGACATGGGTTCAGTGAATGGCTGGCCATGGTGCCATATGTGCACGTCCCAGGCATTCCTGAGATGGTCTGTCCTCAAGTGTAGGGGGTGCTGGTGGCTTGGGATGATAAACAGCTTAGAGCCAGGGAAAGAAAAGGTCACCTTCTGGGCTGTGTCGTGGGGGAGGAAACACAGTTCCCAGGGGAACGAGCGCTAGTATTTAAGAAGTACACTCAGGCGCCCGGGTGGCTCAGTCGGTTGAGCATCTGACTTTGGCTCAGGTCATAATCTCATGGTTCGTGGGTTCAAGCCCCGCATCAGGCTCTGTGCTGACAGCTAGCTCAGAGCCTGGAGCCTGTTTCAGATTCTGTGTCTCCCTCTCTCTCTGACCCTCCCCTGCTCACGCTCTCTCTCTCTCTCTCTCTCTCTCTCTCGGAAAGAAATAAACATTAAAAAAGAAGAAGAAGAAGAAGACCTCTCTAGGTTAAAAAAAAGAAAAAAAAAAGAAGTACACTGAGCCTGTCCTCAACACTTGTCCAAGGTCAGTTCCTGGACTAAACATGAATGTTTTTGTCCATGATTACAGGCTCCAGACCCAGGACTAATTCAGTAGTGGCTGCACGCAGTTTACACAGGCTCATGAGTCAATTGTTAATTTTGCAAGCTGGTTGTTAAACTCAGCCATTACGAACAATTAAGTTATATAGGAGCGCCTGGCTGGTTCAGTTGGAGGAGTGGGAGATCCTTGATCTCAGAGTTGCGAGTTCGAGCCCCATATTGGGTATAGAATTTTCTTTTTTTAAAAAAAAAATTTTTTTTAATGTTTTATTTATTTCTAGGAGAGAGAGAGAGAGACAGCGTGAGCAGGGGAGGGTCAGAGAGAGAGGGAGTCACAGACTGAAATAGTCTCCAGGCTCTGAGCTGGCAGTCAGCACAGAGCCCGACGCGGGGCTCGAACCCACGAACCGCGAGATCATGACCTAAGCGAAAGTCGGACGTTTAACCGACTAAGCCACCCAGGTGCCCCTGGGTATAGAATTTTCTTAAGTGAACTTAAACAGAATTAAGTTATAGGGGGTACCTGGCCACTGACTGGCTCAGTTAGTTAAGCCTCCAACTTCAGCTCAGGTAATAATCTCATGATATGACTTTGAGCCTGCATTAGTTGAGCTTGAACCCTGATTCAGGCTCCACGCTTTCAGAGTGGGATTCTCTCTATTCCTTCTCTCTCTCTCTTTGCCCATCCTGGGATACCCTCTCTCCCTCTCTCTCTGCCCCATGCTCACCTGTGCCTTCTCTCTCTCAAAGAAAAAAAAAAGACCTTTGTTAAAAATAAGTTATATAAACTTATAATTAAATAAATTGTATTTAGGCGGCACCTGGGTGGCTTAGTCAGTTAAATGTCTGACTCTTGGTTTCGGCTTCAGTCATGAGCTTACAGTTTGTGAGTCTGAGCCCAGAATCAGGCTCTGTGCTGACAGTGTGGAGCCTGCTTGGGATTTCTCTCTCCCTCTCTCTGCCGCTCCCCAGCTTGTGCTTGTGATTTCTCTCTCTCTCTCTCTCAAAACATAAATAAATAAACATAAAAAATTTTAAAAATAAATCATATTAAAAAACTCAAAGCTCATCACTTCTTATTTAATTTACCGTATGTTACTAGTATCCATCCATTCCCTTGAGGATATTCACAGCTATTGCATCTGTATGATACAAATCCTACATAATAGAAACACTGTATGACTCTGGTTAGTGATGTCATGTCAGTAGTTTGAAACTGGCTGTGGCTGAAATATTACGTCAGGAAATTGGGGCATGTAACCCCTCCTCCCCCCCCCCGCCCCCCCGCCAGAGCTGGTTGTTAATAACGTTTACCAGCACCTCACTGGACAAACTGGGGTCAGGAATTCTGTCTTCTCAACAGTGCCAGCATTCTTGATCTGCCCCAGATAAACAGTCCAGCCTTTGGGGTTTCCGCATTCCAGTTTTGGAGTCAGCTGCCTCACAAGGCCGATTCTCACCCACCCCCCACCAGCGGTGTGAACACTGGCGGCCACTTTGGATCGCAACCCTTGCTGCGTCCTCCCTCGGCTAAGTGCTCGCTTGACTCTGACATCACCACAAGGTTGGTATTGAACTTTGACTCGACCCATTTTACATATGACAAAGTGAGCCACAGAGAAGTTAAGCGACTCTCTCCTGAGGCTGTCAGCCAAGAGAAAGGTGGAATCCTCTCATAACCACTAGCTCTACAGATAAAAGAAGAATAATCCTATGATCCGATAAGGGAATGTGATTAAGTGGCTCAGTTACCATTCCTTCCTGGCTGCCAATGCTGCCTTTAGCTTCCAACTACCAGAGGGCATTCATGCTGATGTAATTGTACCGTCCTTAGTCACATCCAATAAAACAGTGGACTTACAGAATGTGGCCTATCCCAGGTCTTTAGGAGACTTTAATGAGTAAATAAGACTGTTCTAGAGTTAATGATCCATTGTTTCGGTTGATGGCTTGCTTCTAAGTCAATCAATTATTAATTAGGAATTGAGATCCGACATATCCAACGCAGTTCAAGATCTGGACACCTCCCATGAAAGCTAAATCTCCGGAGTGTTTAAACAGTTTGTTGAAAATTACACAGTTTGGAAGAGATTAGGACACGAAATTCACCACACTTTTCTGATTCCAGAACTCCTGTGCCAGGGAGTCATGTGATGAGCATCTGACAGCTCGTGGAAAAAACCTCTTGGGGCGCCTGGGGGGCTCATTCGGTTAAGCAGCCTTGATTTCAGCTTAGGTCATGACCTCATGGTTCATGAGTTTGAGCCCCACGTCAGGCACTGTGTTGATGGCTCAGGGCCTGCTTGGGATTCTCAGCCCCCCCTCCTCCCCCACTCACGCTCTTTTTCTCTCTCCCTCAAAACTAAATGAATAAACATTAAAAAAAAAAAAACCAAAACATATACACAACAAACTCTTCTAAGGGCTCCTGAGTGTCTAGTCGGTTTAGCGTTTGACTCTTGATTTTGGCTTAGGTCATGATCTCACAGTTGGTGGGATCGAGCCCCGCACTGGGCTCTGTGCTGACAGTGCACAGCCTGCTTGAGATTCAATCTCCCATTCACCCCTCTAAAAATAAATAAATAAGCTTAAAAACAATCCTCTTATAGAAGAATAGCTAATGGCAGAGAAAAATGCCCATAAAGTACTGGTTTAAAAAAAGGAGGTGAGGGGCGCCTGGGTGGCTCAGTCGGTTGGGCGTCCGACTTTGGCTCAGGTCAGGATCTCACAGCTTGTTGAGTTTGAGCCCCGCGTCAGGCTCTGTGCTGACAGCTCGGAGCCTGGAGCCGGCTTCAGATTCTGTGTCTCCCTCTCCTTCTGACCCTCCCCTGCTCACATTCTGTCTCTCTTTCCTTCAGAAATAAATAAACATTTAAAAAACTAAAATAAAATAAAAATGGAGGTGAACACATGACTGTATTTTATCAATTTTGGATATGTGTTGCTTTTCGTATCTTAATGTCTGAAATAGGGTGCATCAAAAATCAATTCCAGGTGAATTATGGATATTAATGTGAAAGGTGAAACAATAAAGCTTCTAGAAGATACTACAGGAGAGTATCTTCATAGTCTTGGGGTAGGAAAGATTAATGAAATGGGAAACAAAGCATACCCATAAAAGACCAGTAAGTTGGACTAAACTAAAATTAAGGAATATTTGTGCATCGAAAGACATATTGAGAGAGTAAAAAAGTAAGCACCTGTGGCATGCGGGTGGCTCACTCAGTTAGGCATCTGTCTCTTGATCTCAGCTTAGGTTTTGATCTCAGGGTCCAAAGTTCAAGCCTCAGATTGGACTCCACGCTGGGCATGAAGCCTATTGGGGGAAAAAAAGCCACTGAATGAGAGAAAACTTCTACGGTGTATGTATCCAAAAAAGGGAACTCATACCAGAATATATGTCAGACTCCTACAAATCACAAATATGGAAAAAAAAATATGCTCAAGATTTGAGGCAGGCACTTCATAAAAGAGAATAATCAAATGAATATTAAGCACATGAAAAGGATCTCAGTCCCCTATTTCCAGGGAAATGTGATTTATAACCACAGCAAGAGGTGCCCGGATGGCTCAGGCAGTTAAATGTTGACTCTTGATTCTGGCTCAGGTCATGATCTCATGGTTCGTAGGTTCGAGTCCTCCATGGGGCTCTGTGCTGACAGTGTGGAGCCTGCTTGATATTCTCTCTCCTTCTGTCTTTCCCTCCCCTGTTCATGCTCTCTCTCTCTCTAAACATCAATAAATAAACATTAAAAAAATAAATAAAACTGCCACAAGTTACCACTATACACCAGGAGAATGACCAAAATCGAAAGGAACGACAGTGCTGAGTGTTAGTGAAAATGTGGAGAAACTGAAATGAGAAGCTCCCATTCATCGCTGGTGGGAAATAAATGAACCAATTCCTTAGAAAACCATTTGGCAGCGTTCATGAAAGCTGAACACTTAACACAGTAACTTATGAGCCATTAATTCACTCCTAAATGTCATCCACCGGGATTTCATACATACGTGGAACAAAAGACAAGTGCTAGAACATTCACACAAGCCTCATTAACAGTAGCCCCAAACCAGAAAAAATCCAAATGTCCATCAATAGGATAAATATCCATAAATTGTGGCAGATTCACAAAATGGAGTGATAGCAACAGAATAAATTACAACTATGTTATGCAAAAGCGTGGATGAATTTCACAAGTGCAATGAGAAGTAAGACACAACATCTGATTCTGTTTCCATCAAAACAAAAATAGGCAAAAACCAGTCCATTTTAGTAGAATTTAGGAAAGTAGTTACTTTGGGGGAAGTTGGGGAAAACAGTGCCTAGAAGGTGGTAGAAGTTTTTGGTGTGCTGGTGATGTGAGGTTTCCTGAGCGGGGCAGTGACTGCGGGCACAGTCATGAGTTATAAATCAATAATTGGTGTACTTTTCTGCATATGTGTATACATATATTGTGCTACGGTATAAAGTTAAAAAAAAAAGTGGGATGATAGAGGGTTAGAGTTGGATAGAGGATGTTAATTATTCACAGATCTTTGTTGAAAGACTCGTTCAATGATGCCTGTCCAATGATGGAATACAAGACACTACCCTGAGCTAAGAAACCCGGCAAAACGTGCCAATGAATCTATTGGAAGAGCATGAAGGAGCTCAGAAAACTCACTGGAACTAAAATACAATGGAATCATAACAAGGACTATAGGAGAGGGAAAACTAGAGAGAAATCATAAGAAGTTTCTCATATTTCTAAGAACCAGAAAAATGATCAGTTTTAAACTTTGTAAAGTCAAGTTAAGAATTTAGTTTCTAGCGGGGCGCCTGGGTGGCTCAGTCAGTTAAGCATCAGACTTCGGCTCAGGTCATGATCTCACGGTTCGTGGGTTCGAGCCCCACGTCAGGCTCTGTGCTGACAGCTCGGGGCCTGGAGCCTGCTTCAGATTCTGTGTCTCCCTGTCTGCTCCTACCTTGCTCATGCTCTGTCTCTCTCTCTCACACACAAAAATAAAATAAACATTAAAAAAAAAAAAGAATTTAGTTTCTAGGGACGCCTGGGTGGCTCAGTCCATTAAGCATCTGACTCTTGATTTCGGCTCAGGTCATGATTTTGAGGTTTGTGAGTTTGAGCCCCACTTCGGGCTCTGCACTACACTGTGGAGCCTGCTTGAGATTCTCTCTCTCTGCCTCTCCCCTGCTCGCTCACTCTCTCTCTCTCTCAAAAATAAATAAATAAACTTAAGAAAAAAAAAAGAATTTAATTTGTAAATGAGTAGAAATAGAACGTATAATTTCTAAACCAGTAAAGGGAGTGAGGGAGAATAAAGAAATCTTAATTGTTCCAACAGAAAACTAAAAAGGATGTGGAAACAAAAGCAAAAGAGAGGTGCCTGGGTGGCTCAGTCCACTGAGTGTCCAATTCTTGATTTCAGCACAGGTCACGATCTCGTGGTTTGTGAGTTCGAGCCCCACATTGGGCTCTGTGCTGACAGTGCAGAGCCTGCTTGGGATTCTCTCTTCCTCCCTCTTTGGCCCTATCCCACATGTGTGCACTCCCTCTCTCAAAATAAATAAACTTAAAAAAAAAAAAAGCAAAAGAAAAGCATGACAAACAGAAAATGCAAAATAAAGTGAAAGAAGTAAGTAAAATATCTTCAGTAATCTCAATAAATGTGGTTAGTTTAAATGTATCTATTAAAAAACGTGGGCTTTCAAAGTATGTTACGATAATAAAATTCTGCTACTTTGGAGATACATGTAAAACCTGGTGATGGAAACATGACAGTAAAAAGCATGAGAAAACATATATCAGGCAAATATTGTTGAAAGTAAAACTGTATAGCAATATTATATAACATAATATAATACAACATAACAATATAATATAATGTAAATTTTAAGCAAAAATCAGTATTAGGTACAAAGATTGTTACTTAATGACAAAAAGAATAATTCACAAGAAAAATGTAACAACCTTGAGCCTACATGTAACATCGTTTCAAAATATATATGTCACCATGGATAGAATTATAGAGAAGATAATATACACTGCCGTATTGGGGGACTTTAACATCTCTCTTAGAAATGAACAGTCAGAACTTACAAAAATTCGTAAGAATACAAGTTTGAAGAACACAGTGGAGAAGCCTGTTCTCAAGGCCAGATGTAGAACTCTGTAGCTTATAATTAGGGGGTCATGTTTTTTGTTTTCAAGAACACATGGAATATACAAATGTGACCACATATTGGACCACAAAGGAAGAGTCAGTGAGTGCCAAAGCAGACATAGCATTAGACTTGGTGCAACAGAACATAAAATCACAATCAAGGTGCATCTGGCTGGCTCAGTCAATAGAGCATGCGATTCTTGATCTCGGGGTTATAAGCTGGAGTCCCATGTTGCATGTAGAGACTACCTAAAAATAAAATCTGGAGGGGCACCTGGGTGGCTCAGTTGGTTAAGTGTCTGACTTCAGCGAGGGTCATGATCTCACGGTTTGTGAGTTCGAGCCCTCCATTGGGCTTATGCACTGACGGCGTGGAAACCTGCTTGGGGGGTGCCTGGGTGGCTTAGTCGGTTAAGCGTCCGACTTTCGCTTAGGTCATGATCTAGCGGTTCGTGGGTTCGAGCCCTGCGTCGCGCTCTGTGCTGACTGCCAGCTCAGAGCCTGGAGCCTGTTTCAGTCTGTGACTCCCTCTCTCTCTGACCCTCCCCTGCTCACGCTGTCTCTCTCTCTCTCCTAGAAATAAATAAAACATTAAAAAAAATAAAAAAAAAAAAAAAGAAACCTGCTTGGGAATCTCTCTCCGCCCCTCCCCCACTGATCTTCCTCTCAAAATAAATAAATAAACTTTAAAAAATAGAATAAAATAAAATCTTAAATAAATAAATAAAAATCACAGTTAAAAAGAAAATCCTCCATATAGTTAGTCCTAACTGAAATAGGACACACAAACATCAGGGGCTTCCTGATGGGATGCATTGGGAATGACACAATCTATGTACAATTCCTGTTAAAGGTGTTTAACTTGAATCCAATGATTAGGAAACCAGACAGAAGAAACAATGTAACTGTTCGGACATTCCACCAAACAGCTGACATGGCTTTTTCAAAAACGGCAAAGTTATAAACACTTCCCACCCATCCACCCACAAAAAAACAGGGTATCCTTTAGATTAAAGAAAGCTAATGAGGCATGACAACCACATGCAGTGCATGGTCTTTATTGGACTCTCGATCCCTGATTTACTCCCCAAATTTAAAGAAATTATTGGGACAACCTGGAACAATGAATACGGACTATTTATCACATAGCATTATTGCATAGGTGTTAAATTTTTTGTGTGTGATGATGTGGTACCCATTTTTGTTGACTTGCTAGTGCTTTCCTTTAGCATAAGTCTCAAAGTTTTTGATTTTAGGACTCTGTACACTCTTAGGAGTTTTTGAGGACTCCAAAAAGCTTTGTTTATAGGAGTTATATAAAACTACACTTACTGAATTAAAAGTTAAAGTAGAATTTTTCTTAAGTTTATTTATTCAGGGGCGCCTGGGTGGCTGAGTCTGTTGAGCATCTGACTCTCAATTTCAGCTCAGGTCATGATCTCAGGGTCATGGGATTGAGCCCTGCGTTAGACTCTGCATGCTGGGCATGAAGCCTGCTTAAGATTCTCTCTCTCTCTCTTCCTCTGCCCATGCTCTCTCTCTCTAAAAAAATAAAATAAAACAAACTATGTTTCTTCCCCCCTCTCCCCCCAAGAAAACTTACTGGGGAGAGTTGTTTATTTACATTTTTGCAAATCTCTTCCCAGCTGACTTGGTGGAAATAGCTGGAATTTCATCTCTGCTTCTGCTTTCAGTCTGTTGTACATGTTGTTTTGGCTGAGGTAAATGAAGGAGATCTCGCCACACACAGATTTAGATTTGGAAAAAAGAAAACGAAGGAGGATTTAAAAAATTGTTTTTAATGTTTCTTTATTTTTGGGAGAGAGAGAGACAGAGCACGAGCAGGGGAGGGGTAGAGAGAGAGGGAGAAACAGAATCTGAAGCAGGCTCCAGGCTCTGAGCTGTCAGCACAAAGCCCAATGTGGGGCTCAAACCCACAAACCCTGAGATCATGACCTGAGCCGAAGTCTGACACTTGACCAACCAAGCCACCCAGGTGCCCCACGAAGGAGGATTTTAAGAGCTTTTTCAAATATTGCAGATAACATCCCCCCATTATCAAAGGCCATTTAATTCTTATTTTTTAGACTTATTTAAAAAAATCATTTTTTAAGTAAACTGCACACAACATGGGGCTTGAACTCACAACAGCGAGATTGAGTCACATGGTCTTCTGACTGAGCCAGCCAGGTACCCCAAACACTTAATTTTTAAAAATTAATTGTATTTATCTTTAAATCTACATCCAAGTTAGTGAGCATACAGTGCAATAATGATTTCAAGAGTAGATTCCAGTGATTTATCCCCCAACCATTTTATTTTTAAAGATGCACAATACCAAAAGCAGACAATGGAGTGGAAGAAAGTAATTTTTTACAAGTATGATTAAATTGAAGCGGTTCACAGCTATTCTCTCCCACAGGAATAAAGCGTGAGTTTGTAAAAATTAAGAGATGAGACAGAAAGCCCATGTACAACATAGGTCAGGGGAGCCAGCATGCCGTCAGAGGCACCCCAGGGTTCACTGCACCAGGAAGGAGACCAGACACAAGTGGCTTTTTTTTTTTTTTTAAGGCAGTTCCAGGTACTTGATTTTATTTAATTTAATTTATTTTTTTTTAATGTTTTATTTATTTCTAGGAGAGAGAGAGAGAGACAGCGTGAGCAGGGGAGGGTCAGAGAGAGAGGGAGACACAGACTCTGAAATTGGCTCCAGGCTCTGAGCTGGCAGTCAGCACAGAGCCCGACGCAGGGCTCGAACCCACGAACCGCGAGATCATGACCTAAGCGAAAGTCGGACGCTTAACCGACTAAGCCACCCAGGTGCCCCTCAGGTACTTGATTTTAAACAAGAAAGTGGCAAGTGGCATCAGCAGCTAAGAGTGTGCCTCTATTATGAGAGCTCTTCCCCCTTACCGTTCCATATGGTACAATTTTGGGAGAAAAAAAAAGTGTGCTATACCTAGTTAGTTATGTTTTCCACTAGTATACCTTTCTAGTTGGTTTTCCCACACCAAGCAATTCTCCAATCCTCAGCAGGACTGAATGTCCCACAATTTAACTCAATTCTGACACCACCTCCCTGGAGACAGCATCAGATCCCACAGGGGAAGGGCTTACTCCCACCAGACTGAGGCCAATTGCAGATCTGGGAGACTTGCATTTGGGCCAATCGGCTACAGATTGCGGATTTCCATGACCCTCTCCTCGGGTCCCCTAGTCTGCTGGAATAGCCCACAAAACTCAGGGAAATGCTGATTTACATTTATCAACTTATTATAAGGGATATCTAAAGGATTCCGATGGACAGTCAGATGAAGAGGTACATGAGAGTGAAGTCCAGAAGGTCCTGAGCAGAGGAGATTCTGTCCCAGTTTATGAATAATGAAGGACACTCCTGTCGCTCAGGAAATTCCAAGGGGTTTAGGAGTTCTGTGTCAGGAACTGGGGACAAAGACCAAATACATTTCTATACCACAACTTTCTTATAAGACAGGGAAGGCATTGATGGATACATCTGGCTTAAAGTCGAAGAATTATCAACAGAACATCTAAGAAGTTACATTTCAGGAGATAGGACTTTCACTTGAGTTAAAGTTGAATGCATGTCTCAACCACTGATCTTGACTGAGACAAAATGTGATTTTCCAAATTTCTACAGTTGCTTCTGTTTCAAAAACTAGCTTTATAGCTCCTTTCATTAAAACATATTCTGATATAGGGCACCTGAGTGGCTCAGTCGGTTAAGCGTCCCACTTCGGCTCAGGTCATGATCTCACAGTTCGTGGGTTTGAGCCCCGCGTCGGGCTCTGTGCTGACAGCTCAGAGCCTGGAGCCTCTTTCGGATTCTGTATCTTCCTCTCTTTCTGACCTTCCCCTGCTCATGCTGTTTCTCTCTCTCAGAAATAAATAAAACATGAAAAACAAAACAAAACAAAACATATTCTGATCAAATAATCTTGCAGAGGAAAGATAACCTAGCTTCAAGGCTGCGCCGTGAAAGCAGAGAGAAAATTATTGATTTTCTGCTCAGTTATCAGGTTTAGAATCTTTAAAAGAAGCGTGGGAGTTCCCAGAAGCACCGCTATGCTGTTGGTGCCGAAAATTTTATGCACTGTCCTTGAGCGTGAAAAACAGTCATCCGGCCAGTGATATGCGGTCCACACCGGTTCTCCCACAAACAGCCTCGTGACTGTCACACTCTTGTTTTCATCCGGTGTGAAGCAGCGATAGATGCCTGCAGGAGGAGTTATGATGTCGTCATTTTCTCTGAAAGCCTGGATCTGCTAGGCCTCTTTACCTCTTCTATCAAAGTCTGCCCTGAGAGTGGAGGGCCGGTGAGCCTTACATCCAAGTCCAGTGGCAACTCTCCACATGCCTTCGCCTTTTCTTCATTTCTTCCCGTTTATCTTTGCATATGGTTATTATGTCCTTGCAAGAGTAATTTCTCTTTGTGGATCCTTCCTCATTCTGGGTCCTGCTCACATCTGTCCGCGCTCCAGTAAAGGACACTGAACTGGTGTGGCTGCCCCAGCAGCCGGGCCTTCGGGCATGGGGACCATGCTGGCTCATCATGGGATTCACCTCCGTGCTAGGCCTGCATCATGGTCCTTCGGGGAGGGGGGGGGGGCGGGTGTGCATCTGGGCATGGTGGGCACCACAAGCATCAGGGCCACCCCGACTTGCATGACCAATCTGGATCCTTGACCCAGAAAGGCCCAGGTGGCCTTTCTGCTTTGGGTACCTGGGCGCTTCACGGCCCAGCCTTGGTTTCCTGTTTTCCTGGTTCCTGAGACTGGGTGAGAGCCCACCTGGGTCTTCTTTTACTATAAGAAAATGTACAGGTGATAGTTGCTCACAGGTTAACTGTAATGTGGAATCCAGAGCAACATCAATGGACTTTCCTACTCTGTTACATTCGCATCTGTTACATTCAAATTCATTCATTTAAAAAATTTTTAAGTTTATTTATGTTGAGAGAGAATGAGAGAGCAAGCAGGGGAGGGGCAGAGACAGGGAGAGAGACCGTCTCAAGCAGGCTCTGTCCTATCAGCGGGGCTGGAACTCATGAACTGTAAGATCATGACCTGAGGTGAAACCAAGAGTCTGGACGCTTACATGACAGGCTGAGCCACCCAGCTGCCCCTTGAATTCATTCTTCAATAGAATTTTTTTTTGAAAAATTTTAATGTTTTATTTACTTCTGAGAGACAGAGACAGCGTGAGCAGGGGAGGGTCAGAGAGAGAGGGAGTCACAGGCTCCGGAATAGGCTCCAGGCTCTGAGCTGGCAGTCAGCACAGAGCCCGACGCGGGGCTCGAACCCACGAACCGCGAGATCATGACCTAAGCGAAAGTCGGACGCTTAACCGACTAAGCCACCCAGGCGCCCCTCCATGAGTTAAGATTTAATATAGCTATTAATTTTTACTGCTTTATTAAGGATACCTTCATACTTTTTCTTAAAATCCAAAGAATGCACGTGGTGAGCAATCAAATCACTGCCACTGTGGGTTGGTGCCTCTGTGTCATGATTCCTGGTAGAGTGCCAGCAGTCTTCCGCACCTGGGCAAACGTTAACACCGAGAAGGTGACTTCTCAGTATTGTTAGAACGGGGGTGCCCTCCAGGATAACCCCGCCCCTCCCCCCTCGGAGTCCGGGGACCGCACTTTGAGAACCGAACCGTTGCTCTAGGCGGCACCATTCTGTTCTCATCTCCACCTGACTCTACATTGAGTTCTTATCTTTCTCGCTCCTTGCTTCCAGGAACAGTGCAGCCCCACCCCCCCCACCCCTACCCTTCCTCATCCCGCCTCCAGCAGAGGGGCGTGGCCAGCCGCCCAAGGCATGGATTGCCCCAGGGTCCCTCTCCCTTCTTTCCTGACCTCACTTCCTCTTCCCCTCCCCCAGCCCCTTTAACCCTTCACTCCCCCCACCCCTCCCCGACGGTGGAAAAGAAGCCAAAGGAAAAGTCTCAGTGTGAAGGACGTGGTCAGAGCGAGTTGTGCTGGGACTTGGTACACTATACAGCACCCACGTTACCTTGGCAATTTGTTTAAAAAATATTTAAAGTATATATCTTGATTGTTCTTTTTCTGGTTATAAAAGTTATAGATGCTTATTACATAATATTCAAACCACACAGAATTGTATACAGTAGAAATGGAGAGTCTCCCCTAATCCCCCTCCCCCAGGCTCTATCGGTTTAGGCACCTTCAATGTTTCACATATATGTATTTTTCATACACATATATGTATACACCAATGGGATATTTCTCTGCAACTTTCATTTTCACTTAATGTATTACATGTTTCTAGATCAGCAAATAAAAGACCTACTTCATTTTTTTCAAGTTTATTTTACTTATTTTGGGAGGGACAGAGAGAGAGGGAGAGAGACAATCCTAAGCGGGCTCCATGCTCAGCGAGGTGTCCTACGCAGGGTTCGATCCCACGTGAGATCATGACCCAAGCCCAAATCAGGAGTTGGATGCTTAACCGACTGAGCCACCTCGGTGCCCCAAGAGACTATAAACGGTGCTGCAGTGAAAACCTTGCTCTTACGTCTCAGTATCTTCTGGTATTTCTATGGTATCCAGGCACTCAAAGTGGAATTTCTGGATGAAACGGATGCGCATTTTATAAAAGGATATGCGCTACCCAAGTGCTCTGGAAAGAGATGAGACTAGCTAACACTCCCTCCAATCATATCCATTGTATATTGAAACGATCTCTTTATACATCCATCTTCCTGACATCCCCAGTGACCTGAGGTCCCCTCAGGAATGGAATGTGCCCTGCTTTCTATCTCTAGGTCACAACTGTCATGTCACAGGAGCTCATTCATGTGAATCAATGGACGTTAACACCACTGTTAAAAAAAGAGAGACAATGGGGGCGCCTGGGTGGCTTATTTGGTTGAATGTCCACCTTGATTTTGGCTCAGGTCATGATCCTGGGGTCCTGGGATAGTCCCGCGCTGGGCTCCATGCTGAGTGTGGAGCCTGCCTAAGAGTCTCTCTCTCATTCTTGCTCTCTCTAAAAAAGAAAAAGAAAGAAAGAAAAAAAAAAAGGAAGAAAGAGAAAGAAAAAAGACAACAAGCCCCCAAATGCCAAAAATGGAGTTACTTGTGCTAAGTCTGGTGTCAGCAAACCAAGACTTAAAGACCTAACCTAATGGCAGGTTAAGCCTCTCCCAGGGATGTGACCTTTATTTAACCACTCAATCTGGAATGACCTGTTCAGCGCCAGTAAGGTAATTCACCTGCTAGACCTTTTGTGTCCTCCATAGGAAGGTGACCTTGTCTGGAAACAATCCACAATCCACTTTTTGCTTTTTCCTGCCCCCTTCTGCCTACAAAAGCCATTTATTTATTTATTTTTAAATCTTTATTTATTTTTGAGAGAGAAAGAGAGTGCCAGAGCGTGAGCAGGGGAGGAACAGACAGAGAGGGAGACACAGAATCTGAAGCAGGCTCCAGGCTCTGAGCTGTCAGCACAGAGCCTGACGTCGGGCTTATACTCATGAACTGTGAGTTCATGACCTGAGCCGAAAGTCGGGCACTTAACCGACTAAGCCACCCTGGTGCCCCTATAAAAGCCATTATACTATACTATACTATATTATACTACAGTATACTATATTATACCATATTTTAGAGAGAATGAGTGAGGGAGAGGGGCAGAGAGAAAGAGAGAGAGACCCTGACACTGGGCTCAATCCCACAACCCTGGGATCATGACTTGAACTGAAATTGAGAACTGGACGCCCAATGGATTGAGCCATCCAGGTGCTCCAAAAGCCTTTCATTTTGTACAGGTCTTTGGAGCTCCTTTCTACCTGCGAGACAGGACGCTGTCCAGTTCATGAAATGCAATACAAACTTTAAATTTTACTCAGTTGAATTTCCAGATCGCCAACAGGTTTCCTTCCTGTGTGTCAGATGCCATTCTAAACATTTAATCTGCACAAATTTCTTTAATCCTTGTAACTACTATTAGTGGGTATTGTTATTATCCCCATTTGCAGATGAAGAAACTGAGGCTGGGTGGTTGAGCGGCTTGCCCAGTCAATGAGGTGGTCAGAAGACATGACTTCTGCAAACAAGCAGAAACCTTTACCCCCCAGGAATCTGCAGCCAGGAGGGTAATGATGCCTCTGGTTCTTTTCTTTTTTTAAAATATATAATGGGGCGCCTGGGTGGCTTAGTCAGTTAAGCGTCCGACTTTCGCTTAGGTCATGATCTCGCGGTTCGTGGGTTCGAGCCCCGCGTCGGGCTCTGTGCTGACTGCCAGCTCAGAGCCTGGAGCCTGTTTCGGAGTCTGTTACTCCCTCTCTCTCTGACCCTCCCCTGCTCACGCTTTCTCTCTCTCTCTCTCTCTCCTAGAAATAAATNGTTTCGGAGTCTGTTACTCCCTCTCTCTCTGACCCTCCCCTGCTCGCGCTGTCTCTCTCTCTCTCCTAGAAATAAATAAAACATTAAAAAAATATATTTTATTTATTTCTGAGAGAGAGAGGCAGTGTGAGCAGGGGAGGGTCAGAGAGAGAGGGAGACACAGACTCTGAAACAGGCTGCCGGCTCTGAGCTGTCAGCACAGAACCCGACGCGGGGCTCGAACCCATGAACTATGGGACCATGACCTGAGGCGAAGTCGGACGCTCAACCGACTGAGCCACCCAGGCGCCCAACCTCGGGTTCTTTTCTAATGCCTTTGTGATTACTTCCTCTTGCTTCATCTTTTGGCTCTCCAGTTTTCTTAGGGATTCACTGAAGCAACCGGAGAGAATATTTCATAAAGGTAAATAGTATTCTGGGGTGCCTGGATGGCTCCATTGGTTAAGCATCTGACTCCTGACTTCAGCTCAGGTCATGATCTCACCATTTGTGAGTTCGAGCCCCACATCAGGCTCAGCGCTGACAGTGCGGAGCTTGCTCAGGATTCTCTGTTTCTTTTCTCTGGCCCCCACTTCTCAAAATAAATAAATATACAAAAATTAAATAGTACTCTAAAATCTTCCAAATTTGTGTCTGGACCCTGCCCGTTACTACCCATAGATTTATTTTACAAAGTTAAAATCAGAGTAGTATAGTGTATTGGGAGGGGGGTCTACCTTGCATGATGACTTAGGTGTAAATGAAGGCTGTGTCCCCCCCCCCCCCAAGTGGTGCAGGCTTGTAAAGGTGGGCTTGGCCACCTGGGAGTGCGAAGAGTCCACTTGATGGCAGGAAGGGGCAGTGCACAGAGTCAGGGGCTATTTGGGGGAATGGCTAAACTTAGGGTCGTTGGGGAGAGGAGCTAGAAGAGAAAGATGGTGAGGGAAGAGAAGGCCAGGAAATGTTATAAGCTATTCAGACTTGAGTATATGAGGCGTGGAGAGCTCATGCAGGTACCGGGGTGGGGGTGGGGTGGAGGGTGGAGTAAAGCTCTCTGGGCTGTGCTTCAGAGTGGTCATGGGCAGGGGGAGCAGCGGTCAGGTGACTGGGGAGGGGAGGGAACGGGCTGCTGGCAGGGAAATCAGTTTAGAAATGACTATAAATAGCTCTGCTATCAACATACACCCCTCCCCCCCACTGCCTTCTCCTCTTTTCTTATTTCTAATAATGGCATTCCTATTCTTCCAGCTCCGGGGATGGAAGTCTGAGTCACTCTGAGTGCTCTCCCTGCCCAAGTCCAGACAGCTGCGATTCCTGCTGATTCCATCTCTACATCGTCTCTGTCTCTGGAGTCTCCAGGGTCCTGCTGGGACATTGTGTCAGGCCCACGCCCCGTTCAGGGACCCCGGCCTCCCTTGCCCCATCCTGGTCCTCTACTCCCCAGCACCCCCTTGCTGCTACTGGCAGACTTTACGCCCTGCCTGTGAACACACCAAGAAACTAACGCCCTGGGGTGTCCACCTGGGTGAAGTGCAAGTCCCCCCTCAACCCCAGCCTGCTTGTCCAGCCTCCTCCCAGATCTTAGATGCCCCTGGGGACCAGCTTGATGGATGCTCCTGCCCTAAGCCCAGGCGCTCCCTCATCAGAAGTCATCTGGTCTTTGACAGATGCCTCACTTTCCTCTAAGCTCCTCTTGGGACACTTTCCTCTCGTGCCTGGTTTGTGGTGATTGCACAGTGTGTCTGGCTCCCAAAGGGACTCAGCAGCGAGCACTTCTGGGCCCCCACGGGGAACCTGCATATGACCTAGTCTCAATAACTAATTGCGGTTTGATTAAAAATACAGAAGGGTATGGGACGCCTGGGGGCCGAGTCAGTTGAGGATGTGACTCCTGGTTTCAGCTCAGGTCATGATCTTGAGATTGAGGCCCGAGTTGGGCTTGGTGCTGAGCATGGAGCCTGCATGGGATTCTCTCTCTTTCTTTCTCTGCCCACCCAGTATCTAAAATAAAATTTAACTGGGTGTTATATGGAAACCAACTTGACAATAAACTATTTAAAATTTTTTAAAAAAGGAAAAAAATAAAATAAAATTTAAAAAATTAAACAAAAATACGGAAGGGCGGGAATTTCCAATTCTGCTGACCCCAAACTGGAGGATCTGAGCGTTTTTCCTTTAAATACTATCTTTCTATGAAGTGGATTTCAGGGCCAGTAGTTATGACCACCAAGAATTCCAAACACGTGTAATTAGCAGGGACTCTGTTTTCTCCTTCTTTCTCCTACCCAGATATATGGGTAAGAACTAGAGTTTGGCTACTTCCTGGCTGTGTGACTTTGAGTCAGTGTCCTAACCTCTCTGAGCCAACGGGGTTGACGCCGGCTGCCTCACCAAGACAGGCATTGTATGGGGAAGGCTGGCATGGAGCTGCAGTGCTGACAGGCAGGGAGTGAGAAGCAGTTTAATCAGAAGACTTTGCTGCAACTGCCCTGGGCTAGTGTTGTGTTTGCGAAGAACACAGTGACCCCACACTGATCCCTCTGCAGGTGAGAGCGCAGGACTCTGGGACACACTGAGGTTTCTGTGCTGCCTCTCACTAGAGCCTCTGACACCCTGGTTTACCATGTAGAGGATGGGCGGCAATTTCTTCCTGACCTTTTCAGAAGTGGTAGTGGGGGGTAGTTGACACACATAACTGAGTCTCATTGTTTGGTCCAGAAGGATCCTCAGGGGGTCCATTCTCCCAGGTGACGGGTAGAGACATTGAGGCCCAGGTGCTTGATGCTACCAGGATGGCATCAATCCAAATACCAGAGGCTTCCAAGGTTTTCCAAGAGAATCGGGAACAGAGTGAAAGGGATCGGGAGTCATTCTGGGATACGCTGGCTTAAGATCAGGCTCTCTGACTGAGACCTCAGACTTTGAGGGGGTCCAAAAGCCACCTCCCCTTGGATCCAGTCTGCTGGATCTCAGGGCCAGAGCAGTAGCTCTGCCCGACTGGGACAAGGAGAGGAAGTGTTGAAGTCTGTAATTCAAGGTCACTTTCCTGGCCAGGCCCCATCTGGCAATGCTGACTGTTAAGGCAATGCAGGGGAGAGCCGGGGACACAGGGCAGAGCGCGGTTGCTAGTGTTTGGAGCGAGTTGGTGTGACCAGGGCAGCGGGGGCTGGGGTCAGACTTCTCTAAATAAAACCCAGCGCGGGCTGGTGTCCCGTTTCAAGAACATGGGTGAGGCGACTTTAGTCCTGGGTGAGAGGACCGATCAGTATTGTCTTGTGCGTGAAAACAGGCAAAGCATGGAACCTTCTGCCAGGGTGGCTGTCGAGCTCGCTCATTCAGTCCAGGCTGCACGAGGGCTCACCTGGATCACGATAAGCATCAGCTACAACCGTTGAGCACGGGGTGTGCCCGGAGCCTTTTACTCACGTTATTGCACTGACTGTCGCAATCGCCACTTCAGACGGGGCAAAAACAGACTCTGGCCCTGGCGTACGACTTCGAGGATTAGCAGCTTGACCTTCTGGGGAGAAGCAGAGGAGAGAGTTCAGCGCCTGCCTCCCGACCGTCTACGCAACCCGTGGAGGGGGCAGTAGCCTCTGAGGGCGAACCGGAGCGCAGGCGACGCGCCCGCGCTCTCGGCTCAAGAACTCGGAACCCGCGCTTGGTCAAGGCGGCGTTTCAGCCCAGCAAACGCCAAGAGCGCGGGAGTCTGCTCACTTTGGGGGGGGCTGAAGCTGATTCGTCAGCACTTGACACCCTGGTTTAAACAGGACATCGCGGACAGAGGGGCTCGGCCTCGCAACCGGAGGCCTTAACCCCCCAGCGCCGGCCGCCGCTCGCCGGTCGGGACGCGCCCGCCCGGCCTCTCCCGCGCGGTCCGGCGGAGCCGCGCGCGGCGCCAAAAGCTGCGCGGGCTGCGCGCGGGGGCGGGGGCGGCCCTGCGCGGGGTCCCGGCCCCGCCTCCCCCCCGGCGAGGGCCAATCGCGAGGCGGCCCCCGGAAGCCCCGCCCCCGCCGCCGCCGGTGCCCGGGCGGCTGGCAGGCCTTGGCAGCCCGCCGCCAGGCAGCCGGGAGCAGCCCCGGCGCTCGGATCTCGCCCGCCGCGGTCGCCTCGCTCGCCTGCTCGGTGGGATGGCCGGCTACCTGCGCGTCGTGCGCTCGCTCTGCAGAGCCTCCGGCTGCGGGCCGGCCTGGGCGCCGGCGGCCCCCACAGGCCCCAGCTTGCAGGAGCAGCCGCGGCGCCACTGTGAGTGCCGCGAGGAGGGTCCGGGCGGGGCGCGCGCCCGGCACCGCGACGTGGCGGCCTCCCGGGCGGGGACCGGGGAGCGCGACTCGGGGCGATCGCGGGCCGGGGGCGGCGGCGTCGGCACACAAAGGGCCGGGGGGCGGGGACGCCCCGGGAGCAGGGGTGGGGACTTGAAGGACGGTGGCAACTGGTGGCCCGGGCGCTGCCGGTCCTGTGGCCCTGCGCGGGCGGGGGTTCCGGGCTGCTCCGCGCCCCCAGCGATTCCTGTATGGGGTGCTGGGGGTCTCCCGGGCCCGGAGGGTGTCCTGGCCGCCCTGCGCCCCGGGAGGGGGACAGGCCTGCGAGTCGGGGGGCTGGAGCGCCAGCCCCGGTCTCCGCGTGAGAGGGAGGGTCTCGGCGCGGTCCCGGCTCAGACAAAGGCGGGGAGACGGCCTCCACTTCCCTTTCCTTTTCAGCCTGGCGCGCTGTAATCCCTCCTCGCTGTCAGGCCCGCGTCAGCTATTTTTGGAGCCTTTTTACGCGACAGCTGGAGGAGCGTGCGTTTTATTTTCCCTTTTGTTTGGACACCCCCTATCTACACCCCCCCCCCCCCGTTTCACCTAAGTCTCCATCCTGGGGCCTCTCCTTGGCCTGACCTGCCTTTTCTGGCCAGCCGGCTCCCGCGCTGCTCCGCCAGCCCCACTCACCCCACTGCGAGACCCGGGTGATTGGGCAGCCGCACCAAAATGTCACTTTCCCGACTCGTTCCTCACGGTTTCTGCGGTGCCCTTAGCACCCTGCTTAGGAGAAAAGACAGTGGTCGGGTTTTAATAAGCAGGATTTAACCTGAACCCCTGTAACCATGCAGGCTGCCCCCCCGTGGCATGTGGCCTGCACCGTGGCTCTCCATTTCCAGCTCCAAAAGGCTGGGAGAATGTCGGTCCCTTGGTCTCGGCTCTTGCCTGTTGCCCCGGAAACCCCTTTCCTGACCTGGCCTGGAGCCCCTTGGAATGAGCCAGGACAGTGAGGAAGAGGGAGTGGGGCCCAGGCATTGGGGTAGGTAATGTTTAACCAGTGTGGGAGCAGCTGACCAGAATTGGGGAGAGGAAGGAGGGGGGGAGTTGGGCCCCAGCCCCCGCCTCCCCTGCCAAGGAGAAAGGGGGCATTTCTGTTTTTATACTTCTGGGATTTGTGTCTAAGTGGTCAGCCCCCCTCCCAACTCCAAGGTTCGCAGTGCCCCCAGGCCACAAACCACCTTTAGCAAAATATCCCTAGAGTAAAGATACCTTCGCCCTTTTTGCCCCCTGCATTGATGGTAAAAAAAAAAAAAAAGAAAGTTCTTTTAGTTGTAGGTCCTTCCAGAAGTTCCCAAGCTGGTCAGGTTATTAATGGGGAGAACGCTTAGCGTTTGAGTTGCACACGAGACTTACAACTGTGGCCGCTGTGAGCTTGTCCCCAGGCAATACCACTGGAGAGAGATTGTTTGGCATTCCCCTTGATGACAAGAAAGGAATATGGGGGGTTTTTTTTGGCTAAAACCCTCTGGTGTCTGCTGCTTGGTAATGCCACGGCTCTAGTTTTACAATTGCCAGGCCTTTAGCGACGGCTGGTGGTGGTTCTGATAAGCTGGGCCTCGTGGAGGGGAGGGTGGGCTCTGCCCAGGCCCCCCCCCCCCGGGGAGAATGACTTGTCTACTCTTCCTTAGCTCCACTCCTCGCCTGGCAGCTTCTAACTTTTCTCACGCTGCCTCTTACCTTGTCAGGTCTCAGTGACTTGGCTGCACTCTCAGATTCCGGGGCGATTATTTAATGATTGTTGAAAGTTCTGGAGACCTACCTGTGCAGTTATTACGTGTCCATCCCTGAGGCTTGTTTCAGCTACATCAGATAAGACCAGGGCTGTCCCGTCAGAGGTTTTTTTTGGGGGGGTCATGTTTAGGCCTGGTGGGTTTGGAGGAGAAGTCTCTGGAAGGCCTGGGGCCTGCCCCCAAATCCTCCAGTCGGGGTGGGAGCCTCTTGCGCTGGGTTCCATTCAGGGTACGAGGTGCTGGAAACTGCCTCTGGTTATTGGAAGCCAGGCTCTGGTTATTGCAAACACTGTGTAAACACATGTTTAAAATGCCAGTGGAGGGGCGCCTGGGTGGCTCAGTTGGTGAAGCGTCTGACTTTTGATTGTGGCTCAGGTCATGTTCTCACAATTCGTGAGACCAAGCCCCGAGTCAGTCTCTGCACTGACAGCTCGGAGCCTGGAGCCTGCTTTGGATTCTGTGTCTCCGTCTCTCTCAGCCCCTCTCCTTGTGCTTTGTCTCTCTTGCCTCTCTCAAAAATAAACATTTAAAAAAAAAAACAGTATAAATTTTGAGCTTCCCAGGGCAAGTTGCCCATTGCCTGGCAAGATGCCCCCTGCCCCGTGTACATCTGTGCTGGTCTGGTGCAATCTGATGGTAAGAACTCAGTGGCCTCGGTCTGGCAATGCATCCCAGGAACTGGGGAAGAGGAGGGAGCACATTTCATCCCAACAGGAGGTGGGGGCAGGGCAGCCGTTACTATAGACCAAACAGACTGTAACTTGACGTTCATTTGTGACTTCAGCAACTATTGTGCTTCTGCTGTGTGCTGGGGACAGAGCCAGGAGGAAGAGCAAAGATTTCTGCCTGTCTGGAGCCTAAATTGTAATGCGGGACTGTCAGTACGACAAGGTAGAAGTTGGCTGGCGTGGTGTATGGAGAATAAATATGCCAGGAAGGTGTGCGAGGAAGTTTGGATGGGGCCGGGGGAGAGAAAGACCTCCTTGAATGAGGCATCGAGGAAACAAAGGCAACAGGCCATTTGGTTATCAGGTGCCAGGCCGTGATGGAGAAGTGAGGGATGGAGGAGGGCACCTTTGCTTGTGGGAGGAGTGCCTGAGCCTGGCGGGGGGTGGGGGTGGGGGCGGGTAGTGACAGATGAGGTCAGGCCTTGTGGGGACCATACATTTTTGAGGACTTTGACCTTTACTCTGAAGGAAAAGGGAAGTTTTGCAAGGTTTTGAGAAGGGTATTGTGGCCTGATTAACATTTTTTAAAGCTTTTTACTTTTTTATTATTATTTTTCAAATATTGATTTATTATTATTTAAAAAAAATTTAATGTTTTATTTATTTCTGAGAGAGAGAGAGAGGCAGTGTGAGCAGGGGAGGGTCGGAGAGAGAGGGAGACACAGAATCTGAAGCAGGCTCCAGGCTCTGAGCTAGCTGTCAGCACAGAGCCCGATGCAGGGCTTGAACCCACGAACCGTGAGATCATGACCTGAGCCGAAGTCGGACGCTTAACCCACTGAGCCACCCAGGCGCCCCAATATTTATTTATTTTTGAGAGAGACAGAGACAGAGCGCGAACAGGGAGGGCAGAGAAAGAGGGTGACACAGAATCCGAAGCAGGCTCAGGCTCTGAGCTGTCAGCACAGACCCCACGCAGGGCTTGAACCCACAAACCGAGCGAAGATTTGAGCCGAAGTCGGATGCTCAACCGACTGAGACACCCAGGTGCCCCCTAATTTACGTTTTAACAGCTGCATTGATACTTTGACAAGGTTATTGGCCCTGGGAGTGGTGAGAAGTGGTGGGATTCTGGATGTATTTTGAAGGAAGAGCCAATCGGATGTTTCGATGGTTTGCACGTGCGTGTGAGGGAATGGGGAGGCGTGAAGGATGACGCCAAGCAAGTCCCTTCCAGATTTGCTGCCCTGCCCTCTTGCACTCCCCAGAACCGGGGGCTTCTCCCCACATTCTGCTGGCCCATGCTGGCTTCGCAGTGCTTGGCCCACAGCCAGGGTAGGCATGTAGTAAAGCGCTTACTCTTAGGAGTGGCCATCTTGGGAGGGACCTTGAGCCTTGAATTTGGAGCAGCAGGCCAATCCCGAGACCGGGGCCGGGTTTTGAAATCCGTACTTGGTGTCGGGTGCTAGGAATCCCAGACGGAGAGGAGAGTTGGCCTCCTGGGCTTCCGTGGACTGGTGTAATTCCATCCCACACTCTGGCCAAGAGGCCAGTGTGCAACACGTCATCTGAAGAGTTCATGGTGGCTGTCCCTCGGAACCTTCAGGGAGCCCGCCCCCCCCTGCCCCCAGCACTGTTCCTTGGATTTCAGATGGCTTGTCATCTCTTGTCACCCAGGGAGGGGCGGACGGTGGGGGTGCCTCTGTCATATTGGCTGAACCACACACAAGGTCTCCTACTCTGATGCCTTGGGGCATGTGTCCTCTGGAGGGTACGTGATAGGCCTCGAACCTGGGAGGGAGGCTGTCCTCAGCGCAGCCC